CAGATTTGTTAGTTTTAACTTAATCTAGTAAAATTAAAATATCTGGTAAAATTCAAACAGTCAAGTCAACAACAGTCAAAGCCAATTACAGGATACTCACAGGATATTTACTCTAAGTGTCTACATGAAAAATGAGTTTAAATCCGAACCTTGGTTTCAGCGGTAATACATTTACAAACTTTTGTTTGTTGAAGTGTTTTGAATGGGTTTATTAGGTTTTAAATCAAGAATTTTGGAAATAATTTGCAGTTATTTTGTTTATTCATTAGCTATTTCAGGAAGTATGCGTCGTAGAGAATAATGGGTTTTATATGTAGATGCGGCTTAATAAGACGGGTCGATTGGTATTGTGATGTTAAATTCTCCTCCACTGCCCTCTTTTAAGCTCACTCAGAGCACCGGGGGAACAATGAAAGAAAACCAAAAGAATTAAGATAATGTTATAAGTATATTTTATCCATTTTAGATACCAAAGCAGAGGAATTCAGTAGTTTTAAGTTATTGCTTATATAAATCAACAAGCCTAACTATGTTTATTATTTATATAATAACTATGTTTCACTAATTATAAATATCTAAGCTGAATACAGTAGTTCAAAGTTAAAGTGGATATAAACCAACAAGTTGTCATGAGATGTTATAATTATATGAATATCAAACATTCACAACACTTTACTATGTACTTACATGAGTTCTCAACTATATCTAATATATTTTATCCACACATACCACATAGACTAGACTGAATAAGCTATTTAGTGGATTTCAGAGGTTCTACGGCTCGTTTGATCGATATTGGTGACAAACTTAGTTACTTCTAGTTCTCAGTGAGATAACCAGTTATATAGATATATGTATATATATGGAAATGGGTAGGTCGGGGTCCAACCTCGCCTTGTGGTTCTTCTCCACGCTCACCCGGGGTTAGTAGTGAAATACCTTGATTAGGATAGGTTTAGCTGTGTATAATCTGTCTGCTGTTACGGCCGGGTTACATAAAACCGGAGAGCGGCTGGCAAATAAACTCCCGCATCCCTTCTGGTCCGTGTACAGAAAAAGAGACTCCTTGTTATTCCTCCAGTATTTCTTGAGGGGAACGTACAAACCTGAAGTTCACATTGAAAAAAATGATCAGATATGGGGAAAGTACATAGATTACCACATCTGTAGTGAGTGAGGGAGTGAGGTATATTCACGGTCAATGTTTACACTTTAAAATTTGAATCACTACATGACTGGGGCCCATCCCACCGGGTTGAAGGAAATCAATTTCATGTTCACTAACTTGACAAGAATGATTAGGTATATTTGATGACAATAATCACTATATTGTGCATAATGCAGTTCAATTAGTGCTAGGAGAATAAATATGAGGTCAGATGATAGCTTACCGTTCGAAATATGAAACTATCCGTAAGTATTTTGTTTCCTATCACAAGTTACTGCCTTATTGCAACGCCTTGCAAAGGTTCGTGTTCGTCCACCTACGATACAGAATATCAACAGAAAGGTTATTTTTCACAGCCCAAACTTGCAAAATAAGTAGGAAAAAGAGTTACTCCAATATACCTGCGAAACTCAGTTCGGTTAGCGACTCCGCGCTATTTCCGCCAATATCCTTTAGGATATAAACTTTTCGGATCTATTTCACGACTCCGACGACTATAATATGCCATATAATATACTTTGGGCAGAAGAAAAGAAAACTGTACCACAAACAGATTGTGAAATTTTAAATGTTGTTTTGACAATTGCTCATAGATGATAAGACGGGTCGTCCACTCCCAAACATGTGTCTATGATTTGTTTCCCACTCCAACTGAAGGCAAAGGCCACAGTCAAACAGACAGCCGCCGCATTCGAGACGAACCGAAGAATAAACTCAAAACTATATACCTACGCTCCCGTAAGCTGAGGAAAAGGGAATACCTACCCAAATCAGCGAGGAAATTCAATTTCGAGTAAAATTCAAAATCGATTAAAAACAGCGCCCGATAAGAAGGACTCAAATCGATATGGGAAAAACTATTCAAAATTCAACAACTGTCAAACTCCATCCATTCATCCACGCGCCCCCACAGAGATTCACTGCCTGATTACTTTTTTTTTTTTATAAGTCTCAAGGCGAATATTTTAGTCGAATAGAAAAATCGACTATTCCTCAAGGCTACCAACCCAATCAATGAAGTTTGACAGCTACGCCGACGTAAGCGGTTCGCTATCATAGACAAAACAGCTGTCCTACGTGTGTCAGTGTCACGCCCTGTTTAAAAACAAACACTACAGTATTATAAAAGTTCAGAAGCGGAAAAGTGCAGATAATCGGTTTTGGCACTAAGGGGACGATTTACTAAGTAATAAACTTCTCGCTTTCTAAACGCGCTTTGTTCGTTATTTTGAAAAAGTACATATTAATAATTATAATTAGTAATAATTACTAATAGGAGTAACAACTAATTAATTCTTCATTAAAAATTCTTATTAAAAATAATGTAAGGAAATTTATTTAAATTCAAATAGGGAACCCTTCTACTACAAAGGCGATGTTTTTGGCTGTATCATTTCGGTGGCCATTTTTTACCATTTCGGTAGACAATTTTCATTTCAGTGGACTGCTGAAAACTCATCCTTAAATATTTCAGTAAGTGGTGATTGTTGAATTTGACCCGTAGGATCGTTTGAAAATGGAAAAAAAACCATTAACAATATATTTTCTTTCTTTACTTTGCACCTTTAATTGCATTTTGTGCAAAAACTATGGGAGATACGCGAAAATATGTTGATACCTTTTTTGTAGGAGATTAAATTTTCTACAACTTTGTAATAGATACTTTTTCTATTTTTGCAGGCAGTCGCGAGATATTGACGAAAAACTCGTTTTTGCACCATTTCGCATTTTTTTTCACCCTTTGCCGTCAATGCAGCACCCTGCAATTTTAGTATATTAATCTACGAACCCTTGCGGAAATTTTCGCGTCGGTTGCAGGTGATCAACTCAAAATGGCAAAGTTAAGCCTTCATTGACTGGACTATATATAAAAATGAAACCCGTTTTCCGTTGTCACGACATAACATGAAAACGGCTTGACCGATTTGGCTGATTTTTTTTTTGTAGTTTTCTAATACTCTGTACAAGGTTCTTACGGAAAAAAATATAAAGAAAATCTCTCAGAAAGATTGAAAAATATAACGTAACGAATGTCAACGTCATTCAATTTAAAACAAAAAATCTGTGGTAATCTGTGGCACCACATCGATAACCGCGCTGACAAATGTCAACGTCATTCAATTTAAAACAAAAAAATCTGTGGTAATCTGTGACAGGAACAAACACTTATTAGCAAACAAAAAACTTCTTAGTCTTTAAAACAAAACGAACTTTATCAAAATCTTAATAAAATTATTGTTAGCGCGGTTATGGACTAGCTGACTGCGAACTGCGACGGCGAACTTCGTACCGTATAGTTTATCAAAAAGCATTAGAATAGAGAGAAGCAGTGAAGGGTATAGTATAGAGGCTATTAGTTGCTTTCTAGAGCGCGCGTGGTGTTGAGCTCAGTGTTTACTTCAAAATGCAAAGTTGTTCAATAGCGATTTGTAAAAATATGAGTGAAATTGAACCCTATGGAATAAACACACACTATTATGAAAATATATATGTTGTTTTTTATTTAATAAAAATTAGTAAAGTCCTCAGGTATGGCGAGACCAGGGAAATAAGGATTCATTTTTATATGGAGGATATTATAGATTCCAGTTCAAATTGAATAGGTACTCATACATAAGATAGGTCAGCTATACAAAATAAAGTAGTGCATCAAAGCTACGCTAAGGCGGTACGAAGTTCGCCGGGTCAGCTAGTTATATATATAAACCAATTATACTGACCAATGTATTTTATTTTTGTACCTGTTTTGTCTTGAATTGTGTCCGGTTATTGGAGATTCTTCTTCAAGTCAACTTAGGCTTACGGAGAATTAAATTGTTTTTAATTTTGTATAATATATATATATATATATAAGTCAGTGTAATATATATGTATATATATATTATATTACCTTACTTCGAGCCAGATATGAACTAGCGACCTAAAGATTCATTCGTACAGTTACCTTGACCATGTTGTCGATGTGGTGGTGGTGCCACATGTCCTCCATGAGTAGTAGCGCAGTGAGTGCGTCTGCGTGCCTACGTAGCCTGTAGCAGTACGCATACGCCATCTGCCACAGTCCAATACCGTCCTAGTAACCGCAGCAGTTAACTTGACCACGTTGTGGATAGGGTGGTGGTGCCACGAGTCCTCCATGAGCATCAGCGCGGTGAGCGCGTCCGCGTGGCGCCACAGCTCGTGGCAGTACGCGTACGCCATCTCATCCTCATCATCATCAGCCTCTTAATGACCATACTGCTGGGGCACAGGCCTTCCCAATGGATGGAATAGGGAGATAAGGCCAAGACCCACCACGCGGGCCCAGTGCGGATTGGCGGGTGCTAACGACTGCAGATGCAACCGGGACCAACAGCTTAACGTGCCTTCCGAAGCACGGAGGAACTCGAGACAAAAATTTTTGGTCACTCATCCAATAACCGACCACTGCGAAAGTTGCTTAACTACAACGATCGCAGCCGAACGCGCTAACCACCTGCGCCATCGATCTCCTCTGCCACAGTCCATTACCCTCCTAGTAACCGCAGCAGTTACCTTGACCATGTTGTGGATGCGGTGGTGGTGCCACAAGTCCTCCATGAGCAACAGCGCGGTGAGCGCGTCCGCGTGGCGCCGCAGCTCGTGGCAGTACGCGTTCGCCATCTGCCACAGTCCAATACCCTCCTAGTAACCGCAGCAGTTACCTTGACCACGTTGTAGATGCGGGGGTGGTGCCACGAGTCCTCCATGAGCATCAACGCGGTGAGCGCGTCCGCATGGCGACTCAGCTCGTGGCAGTACGCGTAAGCCATCTGCCACAGTCCAATACCCTCCTAGTAACCGCAGCAGTTACCTTGACCACGTTGTGGATGCGGTGGTGGTGCCACGAGTCCTCCATGAGCAGCAGCGCGGTGAGCGCGTCCGCGTGGCGCCGCAGCTCGTGGCAGTACGCGTAAGCCATCTGCCACAGAAGCTCGGCAAGCGCCACGCGTGACCATTCCGCCTGCTCCCAGCACAGGAACTGCACCAATCGGATGCCTTCCTCGCACCCACAGCATTCTTCTGTCAGCTTTTTCATGTACGTTCTGAGAACAAAGGTTTTTATAAGCAATATAATCTGTGATAAGTATAATTTAACTGAAAGATCGTAATTTGTTAATATTACCGCCGCCCTCCTTTTTTCTGTGTATCAAGTATTGACTAATATCAGTTCTTATCATAACCCAATAGTTAGGATATTTCCTGCCTACAATGAGTTGGAGCATGTGCATAAAGATTTGGATTTATATAGTCTCAATCTCTATCAACAATACAACAAGTCTTCGGAACTTAGTGTAACGTAGCGTCGTAGTTTAGATTTATTAGGTGAAGTAAAAAAAATACACGAGTTTGAGTCTGGGTTTTGGGTACTTAATTCCGTCGGTTTTTTTTTAAAGCGTGGTTAACTTATTCCTTCATAAACTAGAAAGTTGTATCTTCTGATCATTTTGCCATTGCTGATTTATGCGCGCGTCCACCTCCACTAATGCACTCTACTTTTATGTTGCCTAAAGTGTTTACATACTGCAAGTAACAAGGATAGTACAGCGCTGGAGGTAATTGAGTGGGCACGGAAGGGCTGCAACTAGAAACAAAAAAGGAAACCGATCCTATTTGGATTCTAGTTGAAGGAGAGTGACTCGTACTAAAGAGAGCTTAGAGAATGTACCCCGGCCACAAGGGTATGGCAGCGGCTGCGCGAGTAGTGCTAAGGATCAACGTTGCAGTAGATCCCTCACCCGGTCCAGATGAACAGTATATCGGCGGCGGCGGTGGAGAGCGGGGGCCGTTGTATCGGCGCGCCAGTAGAGGGCTGCGGGTCGGCGTAAGGGTCAGGCAGCTAGTGCTAAGGATCAACGTTGCAGTAGTGTCCTCACCCGGTCCTGGTGTACAGTATATCGGCGGCGGCGGTGGAGAGCGGGGGCCGTTGTATCGGCATGCCAGTAGAGGGCAGCGGGTCGGCGTAGAGTCAGGCAGCTAGTGCTAAGGATCAACGTTGCAGTAGTGTCCTCACCCGTTCCTGGTATACTATGGTATATCAGCGGTAGCGGTGGAGAGCGGGGCCGTTGTATCGGCGTGCCAGTAGAGGGCCGCGGGTCGGCGTATGGGTCAGGGAGCTAGTGCTAAGGATCAACGTTGCAGTAGATCCCTCACCTGATCCTGATGTACAGTATATCGGCAGCGGCGGTGGAGAGCGGGGACCGTTGTATCGGCGCGCCAGTAGAGGGCGGCGGGTGGCGTAAGTGTCAGGGAGCTAGTGCTAAGGATCAACGTTGCAGTAGATCCCTTACCCGGTCCTGGTGTACAGTATATCGGCGGCGGCGGTGGAGAGAGGGGGCCGTTGTATCGGCGCGCCAGTAGATGGTGGCGGGTCACCGTAAGGGTTGGGTAAAGGCTGAGCGCCCTCTGCCGCGCCGGCAGACTGGCAGCGAGAACTCACGTCGCAACACCGCACCAATACGTATACCACCTGCGTTATTGATTTATTTATCCAAAATTATTATAGTCCATTCACTTTGGCGTGAGACAAAATGTAAACAAACCATAAAATGGATACTTTTTAAGGTTACGTTTGACAAAAGCAAAGATTAAATACTATTTACATAGGAAATGCAGCGAAAATTTAAGTTAATTATTTTAAAACCTGTTACATACATATGAATAATAAAATAAAATATTTTACATTATATTCAACGTACATTCACATCATAAATTCGTATATTTTTAATTTGCTGGTAAAAGTATTTTAACAACTTAAGTTGACATGGAAAAAGACCTAAAAACACAATCATTCCCAAACCTAAGACGTATTATAATAAGACAAAATTTAAGAGTAGACATGATACAAGTATTTTACGTTGCAATGTTGTTTTGTAATCGGTTGGTTTATGTCAGCCATCTTTACTCTCCCGATCAACCTGTTGACGCGAGCGTGCTTATTCAATCTTATTTGTTAAATTCTTGTTATTTCCTTATTTTATTTGTTGAGTTTGTTGTTATTTTATTTACTGTTAAGTTTAAAGTTGTTTGTGATTGTTTTCTTGTTAAATTGACGTTTTCGTAGCTATAGTTATGAGTGGTGAACCGGGACCAAGCAGCTCTTGTACATTTTCTTCGCCGAAGAAAAAGCGTACAAAGAGTGGACCATTGCGCTCCAACGAAAAGGAGCTCGTGATAAATGTTTTTAAACATGTTGAAGAAACCTGTCCAAAAGATTTCTATCCATATAAAAGTGATATAATCAATAAATCCGTCGAAATACTATATCACGAGCTACTGTTATCTCATCACCTCCGCCTCCGCCATTTAAAGTATCTTTGTTGGATACATTGGACGATATGGATAAGGCTGCGATACGCCGCAAAGTCCACACATTTTTTTAATTAGGAGATGCCCACCGTTGACAAAGTATTGCATGCTGAGAATACAGATGAAACATCAAATATTTAAATAATATTCTAAAGCTCAGGAGCGAAGGTAGAACTATTTATTACACTGAAGAAACTTGGTTAAATGAAGGTTAGTAAAATACAATATTAAACTACTTTATCCTGTGGGAAATTTACTTCTGAATGAAATTATATTTCCTTTTGTATTCATAAACTGATAAACTAAATTCATATTTTTTATTGTTTATCATCACAGTACTAAAATATATTAATTTCTATGCACATAATTTTATTATAATCTTTTTATAAATATTGAATGATACTTATTATTTTCATACCATGTCTTTATCCTGTGAAAATGTTACTCAAATATGTTGTGTCATGTTACCAATTGTATTAAATTATTATTGTTTTTATTTTTCATAAGTTGTTAATGAACTTATATTTGTTACAGGACACACTATGAACAAAATTTGGCAAGATCATACAATTAAAACTGTGAAAGAAGCTCATCGAGAGGGATTGTCAATAGGATTGAAAAACCCAAGTGGAAAAGGGAAGCATCTGATTGTATTGTACATATGGGCACAAGTCAAGGGATATGTTGGTAAAAATAATAAAACATTTAAGATGACTGAAATTAAAAATTAGCCGATGCCTTACAATCAATCACAGCTGAATCGTGGAAACGGTGCATTGACCATGTCATTAAAGAAGAGCAGAAAATGCTGAAATTGAATGGTATTGTTGATACTGTTGTGGATAAATTTATTATTAAAGTTGGTGGCAGTGCATCCAGTGAGTCGTCAAACAGTGATTAAATATTATTTGCAAAGTATCATGCTGGTTTCATTTGAAATACACATTCTTTTATTATATTTATCATCAAGATAGAATTCATTATAATTTTAATATAGGTTACATAAATTATACCTAATCATTGACTAGTAGGTACTTTCGGACATTATAAAAGTTTTAGAACCTCAGATTCTTTGTTTACATTTTGTCTCAAGCCAAAGTGAATAGACTATAGTATTATTACATGTGTAATCTAGTATTATATGGACAAAGGTTATTTTAAAACACACCAATTAGCCTAACCCCAAAGTAAGCACTGAAGGCTTGTGTTATGGGATACTAGGGTAATGGATATAATACATATACTGAAACATATGTAAGTATATTTTTATTCAGAAATACATATAAACATCCATGACTTGGGTACAAATGCTTGTATTCATTACACAAACATTTGCCCCACCGGGATTCGGACCCGGGACCTCTGCGTAGGCGACACCTTGAAAACCGGCGTACATATATTGCTTTGGGAAGAGAAGACACATCAAGCTAATGTTGCCAAATTTAAGTCATTAATCTAAACTTTATACAGTTTAATATTGTGCTGTTTCTACACAATTTTAACAAACGCTGTTAAATAAGTTTTAAAATATTTTAATGTGTGAGTTGACTTTATGTGATATGTGAGGTGTTTATATGATGAAAAAAGAGTGATATGCAGAGTCCTTGCTAAATCAAGAGGATAAGTAAAATCCCCTAATTTTTGAGTGTGTGTCACCCCTTCCCAAGTGAATGTCACCAACTCCGATGACCAGCGCACGGCACCGTGGTGCTTTAGGTCAGCAGGATCTTGCAGCAAGAACTTTTACTCCAACCAAAGGTGCATAGCACAGCTATGAACTGTAGACACTTATTTCTACCAAAGATTGTTGTTATAGACACGATGAGAAAAAACATTTATACCCAGCGTGCGCGCATTATATGGAGTGTGGCCGAGCAATCACAAGACGATTGATACCCAACCAAAATTAGTGAATTAATTTTAACTTACCCTCCTAATATTAGGCAAGAACTGAACAAATATCAAATTGTAACAGATTAGTATTTAATGAAGAATAAATTAAAGCATCACTACTATACCTGATGAATTTTTGCTGACTCTGGATACTGATATTTTACAAGAGATGAAGAAGAGTCGTCCATACACACACCCAAAACGACATCAAGAATTTTTAGCTGCAAAGAAAATATAGTTGACAGTTATTTAATTTTTACTGAAATAAACTTGGAAATGATAATAGTAAAAAGTAATATCAATATAAAATTTAAACACTGGACACACACTTTTGGACTTTATCACCACTTAACATCAGGTGGGATAGAGTCATTTGCCTACCTCGCTTTAAAAAAAAAGAGATTTTTTATAATAACGGTGATATTTGGACGTTTTTGAGGAGTGGCTACTGATGTTTACACAGAAAGTTTTTATTCTCAACCGTTCAGCTTGATCAACTTTGAAATAAATGAATGCTAGAAAATTATAATTATAACAATAATCCTACTAATATAATAATTATGAAAGTTTGGAATATGTGTGTTTTAATGTAGATTTAGATTATTATCCGGATCGTGACATAGGATACTTTTTATCCCAAAAAATATGAGGTTCTCCAAACACGTAACGTCACGGTAACACAGACGAAGTCACGGGGAGCCGCTAGTAAGTCAAGTCCGTCCGTCCGTCTGTGGTGCTGTTTCAGCGGCCAAACCGTAAGAGATAGATAAAGAGAATCTCTTATCTATTAGACAAGTCCGTCCGTCCGTCTGTGGTGCTGTTTCAGCGGCCAAACCGTAAGAGATAGATAAAGAGAATATTTAAGTTACAAGTTAAGAATAGTCTGATAAGACTACAAACCGGATTTGAGTAACGTAGCACTTCCGGTTTTCGAGAAATCACGAATTTCAAACGAAACCACACAAAATCTCCGAAGATCTCAATTAATTAAATTCCTTTTTTTTCTTTAAATCAGGTTTTGGTGAACATTTGGTTCACTGGTGCTCCCAGAGGGGGGCCATTAGCGGGCGCTGGCTGGGCCGTATCCATTTCGTGTTGGCTTTGTTCCAGCCACTTCTCAACTTCGGAGTGAGTATGCTCACGTTGCTGTAGACTGTATTCGTTTTCTAAGTCGGCTAGGTCTGCTTGGAGTTTTTGTCGATTAGTTCCATTTGTATCCTAGCCTTTTGCTCTGCTGCTTCCAGTTCTAACCTTTTGCGTCTTGCCTTGGCGGAAGATGACGTTGAAATTTGCGAGCTCTTCGGATCCCGAAAGGTTTCTCCATTGTCGTACGTGAGTTGTTGCTGCAGTCGAGCTGGTGTAGCAGCAGCAATGACCTTCAGTGCCGGTGTGCCCATTGTAGAAGTTGGTGGATTGAGCGGTTGTCCGTTCTTCACAGGCTCAGATTTTACGCTACCTTTTGGGCGAGATTCTTGCATTTTCCCATGCACTGTATTTTTACTTGCACTGCGCGTCTGCATGTGCGCATACGAGGGGGCGGCGAGCGCGCGACAGCAGCATTAAAATTTGCATACAGAGGAAACTAAGAACCTCTATTTTAAACAAAGTACCCGTATAGCTGATGCTGCTCTCCGAGCCCTAACATGGCGTACGTATTAAACAGGTTGAATAGTAGCGCCAGGTGTCGAACTGCGTGCGACTTCCCAAACGAGGGGTCGGCGAGCGGGCGACCGCAGCATTAATAATTTGCTTACAGAAGAAACTAGGATCCTTAGAATTGAACAATGTACGCGTAACAGCTGATGCCGCTCGCCGAGCCCGATCATTGCGTACGTATGAAACAGGTTGAATAGTAGCGGCAGGTGTCGAACTGCGTGCGATTTCCCAAACGAGGGGTCGGCGAGCGGGCGACCGCAGCATTAATAATTTGCTTAAAGAAGAAACTAGGAACCTTGGTATTGAACAACGTACCCGTAACAGCTGATGCCGCTCGCCGAGCCCGACCATTGCGTACGTATGAAACAGGTTAAAGAGTACCGGCAGGTGTCTTAACTGCATGCGCGTCAGCATAGAACGGGTCGGCGAGCATGCAACCGTAACTATAATAATTTGCATGGAAACAAGGAACCTCTGTGTTAAACAACGTACCCGTAATAGCTGATGCCGCTCTCCGAGCCCTAACATTGCATATGTATGAAACAGGTTAAACAATAGCGGCAGGTGTCTGACTGCATGCGCGTCCGCATACGAGGGGTCGGCGAGAGCGCGCCCGCTGCATATTATCTGGTCCGACAGCGATGTCGCTTCCTCGCGACTGCACCATGAGCCGTAGCCGTTGTTCACTTAAAAAAAAATTAAAAGTTTATTAAAATATACTCAACATAGTCCTTAATGTAAACATAGTTTGTGTGTTCTCTGTGTGTGTTGGTTATGGTCAGAGCATTTTAAACCCTTCTGTCATTAACAGGTAGATATTCGAAGAATTTAGAGAATTTGTTCATTTTTTAAATTGAAAAGGCTGGGTATTGAATCTAGAACTTCAGAAACGGTAAAACTATGGAAAACCCGGGTGAAGCAACACTGGTCTTCATGGTTCCAAATATTGTTTTAGAGTTGCCTCTGTATTGTTATCGATATACAAACAAAGATACTGGATAAAATAAATTAAAACAAGCGATTTCATATTTACTACTACATAGTATAAAGCGAAGTCGCTTCCGTCTGTCCCTATATTATATGCTTAGATTTTTAAAACTACGTAACGGATTTTGATGCGTTGTTTTTTAATAGATAGAGTGATTCAAGAGGAAGGTTTATACTTATATAACATGCATAATATAGTAGAGAAACACTGATAATTATAGCGGTGTTGTAAGGTCGTAAATAAACTAATTTTTTTGGGCTTACATTGCAAACGCTGGCTGAATCCTACGAGATAGATCAAAATAATGTAATACAGTATTATACACCTTAAAAAGGTCTACAAAAAAGTCCGCGATGGTATACGTCAGGGGTGCTCAAACGGTCGATCGGGATCGACCGTTTAATTAACCGATTAACCATAATATATGCTACGGTACACCCTATCTAGGTAGGTAGGTAGGTGGGGTGTAACGTGTACGTACGACAACCCTGCATCACACATACTTCTTGCAGCCTCTCAGGGTCGATCGTAAGTCGACTTACTATCGACTGTTGTCGGACCTATCCATAAAAAAAAAAAAAAAAAAAAAAAAAAAAAGTAGTCTAAACATTTTGAGGTAGATCGATCTCTTAGGGATAACCCACAATAACCATTTTTTATCCTTTACTTTTTAAAAGAAATAATGGCTTATATACAAAGCGATTATAAGCAATATACCATCAATCCTTATCCAATGAAGTACCTTAAATACATTGTACATTAAATATAGATCAATATGTCCCTTTGCAGCATGTAATTTAAATGAGTATTTTTGAAGGTATTCCAGATTTAAGCTGCAGGGACATAGCGATTACCCGGGGCCGGCGGCGAGTGTCTATAGTAATTATATAAATAAAGTCATTGTTTATAATACAAGCCTGAGAACAAAAACTATAGTCTACAGTACACTACAGTTCTACACCGAAGCAAAGCGAGGGCGGGCCACTAGTTTACTATAAAATAAAATTGAGAAACTTTAATCCCTAGAAACAAATTATGTCTGATATCTACAGACAAATTTAAATTGTAACCATTATTATTATTATTAATTGGTAAGAAAACTCCCTAATCAAAACTATTAAGTAATTTCTGATTGGGGAGTTTTCCCGCCAAATAAGGTTTATAATAAAATTGGATATCCAGCTCTAAATTTAATGAAAACAAAATATTATTATTGATATTTACCTGGTGGATCTTTGATTGAGAAGTGTGCTAAGAAGACTATTATTTTCATAAAAACTAATCTAACCTCCGCCGAAGGACATGATAAAAGATAATCACATAACCTGAAATGAAATTAATATTTTTGTAAAACCATTGCAGAGTATTGAATACAGAGAAAAATTTACAAAATTAATACCTATGGGGGTGTTTGAAGAGATCAGAAGCAAACCACGCTCGAACTGTTTGTGAGCACCGCAAATGTTGACACAAAATATCATGCCTGAAACAACATAGCTTATTACATACTTAGACAATTTATTAAAATTATTCCAGATTCTGTTGTTCTAGCTCACCAATCAGCCGCAGGACCTCGTAGTGTTTTCTTTGTGTGAAAACCAACTTGAAATAAAAACTTTGTCGCTAATTGCACAGCCAACATAGACATTTCTTCGTGTTCCTGACTCTGTAAAAATAATAATTTAATTATTTAACATGTGAGCATATTTAAGGACTAAAAGAAACATTGGATTATCTTACCCATACAGCGCTTTGCGAGCCTGCTAAAACCTGCAACCTCATACAACACAATTTCTTCATAAAATTGAAATGTTCCAAACTAAATTGATCTTGATTATGTGAAAATGCAATATTACTACGACGAACTGAAAGCCATATTGGCCTTGGTATGGCACTTTCCCTAAAAAGAAGACAAAGAATTATTACCATATTGGTGTAAATTTACATATTCGCAATGTTAACGTTCGCAACATACTTAAGCGTTAATTTCCTCATAGACTGCTCGAGACTAGACGTTTCTATAGTGTCCTTTCTCGTGTAGAACAGCATGTAAGCATTCCACCATCTCTTTTGGCGCTTGTACAGTACCCTCTTTAGCATCGGATCAAACACCTAGAACGTTATTAGAAATTACCACTTCACGCGAAAACACCATGCTGCCACCTAGGGAGTTTTAACTTCTTAATACAATAGAAATTTTACCTCAGTTTTTTACAGTATTAAGAAGCGTTAAGTTATAAGATATTAGGTTGAAAATCAACTGTCTCACCTCGCCCATATATTCTCCACCGAAACACTGGGCCTTCATTTCCTCTTCGTCATGCATGGCGCACTCGGACACGTCTCCATCGTCTAACTTAACCCATCGTCCTGTTTCACTACCGTTATCCCTGCATTAAAAATATTGGATATTAATAGTGAATTAACATTTTAACAACACAAATAACACAAATTTACATTAATCCGTAAGCAATTTTGGTTATTATTATCAATAATATAATTGAAAGTACAATTTAATAAGTTAATATGATGCCAGCACTTCACTTGGTTATTCTTGTTTGCTATTTGTAAACTTGACATAAGTCTATCCTTTTCAGACTGTTGTCAAGTTTGCAATTAGCAAATACGAATAGCCAAGTCGAAGTGTCGGCATGAAACACTATGAATAATGTTACCTAAGTAAAACATATGAGTAGTAATGTCCACCAGAGGCCTGCCCTGAGTGGACGACTATGCCGCTGAGTTGGTAGTGAGTCTCCGGCGTTTTGTCTTCGCCGCCTTCCCATAGTGTCGCGTCGCCTTCAGCACGCGCCAATCCCCAAGCTAAATATTATTACAGAGGTTGATCTTAAATAAATAGTACCGTCTGATTTTTCAATTAGCTCATTCACACTTGAAAATGAGTAGGAAATAACAATTTGTAATTTGAGATGAACTTTTAGATTTTTTGAAGCATCTTAGTATGGTAAAAATTAAAATAGGTGTGAATGCTCATTTTGAAATGGAAGTTTTGTATGGAAAGGACATGGCTAAGAAACTGCCCTTAACGTGTATAAATATTTCGCACTAGCCAGTAAATGAAGTATATTTTTTTATTAATTATTACGTGTTTATTATTCTCAACCAACTTTCGTGAAAATATCAAATATTTAAAAGTATAAAAATTTAATTCATGTCTGTTTCAAAAGTAAAATGTTCCGTTTTACAAAATTAATGAATGTACACAAAAAATATTTGTGTAAGTATATCGAAATAAACAATATTATTTCTAAACTCCTTCAAACTATGACATATTTGGCCCTAATTGTTATTAAAACAAATCACTGAAGGCCTAAAATAATAGATTTTATTATTCTGATCAGGCTCAAGGCTGTATGATAATTAATCCTTTAATTTTTGCAAATGGACAACATAAAACTTCACAGATTTCCTGCCAGGCCAACGATAACAAATTATTTGTACTTATTTTTGCTTTAATAAACTTTTTGTGAAGAGTTAATCAGAGAAATGGGAAGAAAGATTCTAAGAAAATGCGAAATTGATGACTGTAAATAATTGACAACTTCTTTTAGCAACTGTAGTAAGGTCAAGATTAAAAAACACCCCAAAAAACCGAAAGCAACTAAAATCCCGATCCCATAAAAGCTTTAAAACCACAAATAATCGCAGATTTATGTTAGTTTTGATAAGAAAAACATCCCGGTAACAAATTCAGCAATATATTACCTGTGTAAGGTTCGACATCCAAATCTCGTGGGAACTCAAAGTAATCGTTGAATTTTATCGCACACACTTTTTCAAAGTCATATTCGAACCTTTTCAACTGTATAACTAATACTGGAGGTAGTTTGTTTAGACATAAGCGTTTAACCGTTACGACCTAAAACAAAAAATGTCATGACTGTACATTGGATTACTGCAACCACCAGTACTAAACGTTATTTGTGTGTTAGTAATGTCGTACCTTTTTATTGCACTTATCACAGTGGTAAGCATCCGCCCCTTCCAAAAGCTCGCCCCTAACGTAAGCCTCAAGAGATTCTTGTAGTCTGGACATATTTCTTATGTCCAAAGACACTACACTGAAAGGCTCCTCTTTACAATACCTAAGAAACAATTTAATAGTGTATAACTTACTTCAGTCTACTGACTACAAGTGACATCTGCTATTATACTACTTACCTATGCGGGCAGCCTTTACAGATTTTCTGGTCCGAATACGTGCCACCCATGGTTTTCGCCATAAGTTGGTCTTGTCCTAGTGACTTGAGAGCTTCATCTAATGACTCCACTAATGACATAAAAAACTCTACTGCATCTTGTTGTTCGCGTAAATTAACAGGTTCGCCTTGAAGTCTGGAAAGTAAATATTTTTGTTTAAATATATAAATAATATTTACTTTAAAGTTTATTTACATTGTGAGTATTATTATTATGAATCCTCACCGAAAGTGCGCCCACAATCCTCTGGGAACATAATACTGAAGCTTACTATAGTGTAAATGTGCAAATATAGCTTGAACTTGTTTTAATATTGTTATGTTATAGTCGCTATTGTTCTGGAAAATAAAAAACAGAGTTTGTATCACAATCACAGAAAAATGAAATTAACGTAAAAACACATCAAGGCGTAAGTAGTAAAGACAAAATATTTACCTCTGTGGTATTTTCTACGATATGATGTTCGCCAGAGAAATCTTCGTTGGGATCTGTAGCGGCACCTGAAATGTAACAATCATAGTGAAATAATAACAAAGACGTAACAAACCGGAGTTCATAATTATAACCGGCTTTGTCATTGCAGCTGCACCATATAACGCTAAGCATGTAAATAGAGGGTGATTCAAAATTAATGGCAGCTGTGAAGTGAGCGCAAGAAGTGTCACAGTAAACAAAATAAAAATTTTGTATGATAGGATGTCACAGATGAACATAGTGAGAATAGGCTGAATATTTCTTGTCAGTTAATTCGAACGCGAGCGCGAAGAGTTGGTCACACGATATCGCTTTATCTCTTTCTGGAGAGTGATCCGTTTCGTGCAGGTCTCTCTCTCTGTCTATGATGAAACTCAACTGAAACCTGTGCTTAGTTACACTCGCTGCTAAATTCACATCGCCATTAAATTTGAATGACACAATATAGTAGTCACAGTTAGAGATGGGTTTCTGCTAGGCATTTTGGGCATATTCCGTATTTACCCAATAAATGTCCATTTCTGTCCAATAAATGTCCTTAAGACTGGGCATTTATTATTTTAGATTTCTTTTTTTCTAGGTTAATAACTTTATGATTTTATGGAGAAGGCAAATTCTTTTCCTTAGATTTTATTCAAAATGTATATTTCGGTCCATAAAATAATATTTTTGTGACAAGTGTTACGAAATATGATTATTATTCATTTGGGGTGGTTTGGGAACTACCAAAAAAAAATCATGAACTCAACAAATGGGTTGCGCAAGCATCTCAACCATTTGTGTTTATTTGCATCCCTTTCGCACGATGCATAAGTGACCTTGAATAAACCAATCAGAGAGCCTCAATTCCCATCACCTTCTCTGCGTCTCTGGGTTGATCTTTATTGGTTATCAGATGGGTCAATTTCAGACGCCCGTGTGCACTCGTCGTACCCGCGTACTTTAATAGTAAAAAAATATTTTTCATAATTTAGACAAAGTTTCGGCTATTTTGGGAGGTAAGTAATATTTCTCTTATTCTTGTCTATACTTTAAAGGTTTTTTCTGCACTGATTATATTGGTGAAGCCAAGCCTGTGGGTGGCTATTTTATTTGATCAGTTAACAAAAAATATGCTAATAAAATATTCTCATTTCATATAGTCTTTTTATTATTACTTTACTTACTTACTTTTAAACTTAATATTCATCATGTCAGCCCTAACGACGCCCACTGCTGATCATAGGCCTCCCCCAAGGATCTCCACACCGATCGGTCCTGCGCCACTTGCATCCATCGGCTTCCCGTGACCTTCACAAGATCGTATGTCCACCTTGTAGGGGGCCTGCCCACTGAGAGCCGTCCGGTGCGTGGTCGCCATTCCAGAACCTTTCCGCCCCAACGGCCATCGGTTCTTCTTGCTACGTGTCCCGCCCACGGCCACTTCAGCAGAGCAATCGTTCGAGCGATATCGGTTACTTTGGTTCTCCTACAGATTTCCTCATTTCTGATTCTATCGCGTAGGGAAACACGGAGCATCGCTCTCTCCATTGCTCGCTGTGTGACCTTGAGCTTTCTTATGAGACTCGCAGTAAAGGACCACGTCCCGCTTCCGTAGGTCATCACTGGCAATACACACAGGTCAAAGACTTTTGTCTTGAGACACTGAGGTAATTTGGACGCGAAGACTTTCCGTAGCTTCCCGGACGCTGCCCATCCAAGCTGAAAGTTGGACTGACCTAACTGGACTGTCTGTCCTAGCTTAACGTAACAGTCGGCAACTTCGAATGTAGTGTTTCCAATTTTAGCCGAAGCAGGTTACATAGGCATTCGACATAATTTTCGTCATATCCATGTTCATCTTAAGACCCACTTTTTGGGGAGCTCTACTAAGATCTTCGAGCATCGTGTTAAGATCTTCCAAGGTTTCAGCCATAAGAACTTCATCTTAGGCGAAACGAAGCACAGTGTCTCCAGGATCAACTTGGTGTGCTCTCACAGCAGATTGACAGTTTGGATATGCGGGACCGCAGGAAGATGCTATTATTCCATGGAGTGCCTGAATTGCCAGAGGAAAACTGCACCTCCGTTTTGGTTGAGTCCATCTGTAATCAGCTAAAACTGTCAACATTCTCATCTAGAGATATAGTTCGGTGTCATCGCATGGGCCGTGCTAGGGTTGGTAACCGTCCTCGCCCAATCCTTATGGAGTTACGATATCCGGAGGAAAAACACCAAATTTGGCTAAAAAAGACTGCATTCAAAGGTTCCGGCATCACAGTTTCCGAGTTCTTGACCAAACCTCGTCACACAGCATTTATGGCAGCACGGGAGAGGTTTGGCATCATCAAGTGCTTACACACGGATGGGTATTATATAATATTATTGGACCTGATAAGAAAAGATACCGCATCACTTCCCTAAGCGAACTAGCCAGCGTTCCAGACCTAAGTATTCCAGTACCCGGGGATCAGGACGTAGAAATTCCTGACGTAGGTAATCAAGACCTAGGTATTCCACAAACGGCGACCTCTCCAGGACCTCAGGTGCCAAATAGGACGGCTGCAGTTGTGGAGCGAGCAGTATCAAAAACTCGGCGTGGGGCTGCATCGACCAGGAAGTGATGTAAATAACAACAAAAGTTATTGTAACTTGTAACCCATCCATTCCATTCCGTGCCGTTTATCAAATCTTGTCTTCTTCTTCAATTTTAGTGTTATTCTATTTATATCGTACGTTTAAATTGTTAATTTATTGTTATACATGTAGTCGTAATTATAATTTTTTAAGCACTTTTTTTTTGCAGATTACTGTTATAATGGTGAACGTATTTAGTTTGATGTCTCTGAACGCAGCAGCAGTTTGACAGCTCGTTTTCTTGCTCTATGGTTTTTACTTTCACCTCTCTCTATGGCCTTGCGAGTAAAACCGGTGTGCGAATTGTATTTTACTTATGTTAATAATCCAGTGTAATCCACCAATAAATGAGTGATTGTTATACTTGTGTCTGTCTATTAAACCCTGCAAAGAAGACCTTTACACTGGCGACGAGAAACATCGAACCTACACTGCAAAATGCCTGGAGGCGCAGGTGAATCAAATACAGGAATTGCGCCTAAAAACATTCCGCCAAACTTCATTGAATTTTACGAACCTAAAAACAAATTTCAACGATGGGTACAGAGGTTGGAGGGTGCATTTTCGATTTACAGTGTTACTGACACGACTTCTAAGAACTCTTACTTCTTACACTATATTGGAGCGGATTTGTACGACACGTTGTGTGCTTTGGTTTCGCCAACCACACCCGAAAGACGCACATACGAAGCAAATGTGCTGACATTGACAAACCATCAGGACCCAACTCCGCTTGGAATTTCAGAGTACTATAAGTTTCATCACAGACTCCAAAAGGAAGGTGAACCAATCAAGGATTACATTGCAGCACTGCGAAAGTTGGCGTCGACTTGCAATTTTGGCTCATTTCTTTCTACTGCTTTGAGGAACCAGTTAGTGTGTGGAATCAGATCACAGAGAATAAAGGACAGACTGCTGGAAGTACGAGACTTGACTTTAGAAAAAGCCATTGACATTGCGGCTGGCATGGAAAGTGCACAGGCAGAAGGAACTTATACACAAGAGGTTCAAGCCATTGCAGTTAGGAAAAAGACTACTTTTGGGAATAAAACTAATGTAACAACAGGCCAAATAATTTGTTTCCGGTGTGGCAGCAACCATTATGCAAATAAGTGTACCATGATTAATGCTAAATGCCATTTCTGCCAAAAGATTGGACATATTAAAAAAATGTGCCTTAAGTTGAAGAAGGTGAACCAGGTGGATACAGTAAACCCTACAGAAACTATGGTTAGTCCAAATACTGAATATGATCAGGGAACAGTTGTGTATAATAACAATTGCAGAGTAAACTGTTCTTCGGAAAAATTCTGGATCAGAACTAGAATAAATAAAACAGAGATTCAAATGGAGGTTGATAGTGGATCAGCAGTGTCGTGTCTATAATGAATGTAGAGGACTTCAAAAAAATCTGCAAAACTCAGTTAATGCCTACAAAAACAAAATTATGTACATATTCTAATGAATTTTTAAATGTTTTAGGGGTCACACATGTCACAGCTGCTATCGGAAGAGAATCATTAGAAGTGAAATTGTATATAATATCCGGGAACCAGCATCCACTCTTGGGCAGGGATTGGATATACTTGTTTAATGCATTTAAAGGCTTCAGGGATTCTTTGACACAAGTAAACCAAGTGTCATCAGGTAACTCGCTACATGCTCTTTCCTTACAAAAACTTTTTGAGAAATACAGTGACTTGTTTGACAACAAAAATGTTGGTGAAATTAAAGGGGAACCAGCTGCCTTACACCTTAAACCAAATGCAAAACCGGCATTTTTTCGTGCTAGGCCAGTGCCATTTGCACTTAAGGATAGGGTGGAGCAAGAAATTGATAATTTAGCTCGAGATGGAGTTCTAGTAAAAGTCGATTATAGTGAGTTTGCTACCCCTATTGTGCCTGTAGTTAAACCTAATGGTAAAATTAGAATTTGTGGGGACTATAAACTTACACTTAATCAAAATCTTTTAGTTGACGAACATCCTCTACCTACATCAGAGGAATTATTTAATGGTTTAGCTGGTGGTGATAAATTTACAAAAATTGACTTACGTAATGCATACCTAAATTGGAAGGTTAGGGAAGAGGATCAACACTTATTAACTCTCAACACTCACAAGGGCCTTTATAAATGTACAAGATTAATGTTTGGACTGAACTGTGCACCTGCTAAGTGGCAAAGGAAAATTGAAAGCATTTTAAGGGAGATTCCGGGGGTTCATTGTTTTATCGATGATATTCGAATAACGGCTTTAAATGATGCTGAACATCTAGACAGGTTAGATAAAGTTTTTGCTAGGCTTGCTGAATTTGGGCTGAAGGTCAATTTAGAAAAATCTGAATTTATGCAAAATGAAATTGAATATTGTGGATACAAAATCAGCCGAGAGGGTGTACACAAGGTTAA